AGTCAATCGACCACACGGTTTCACCAAGTAAGAGCATCATGATTAAGAGAAATGGTATTTCAGAACGAGCCAAAATGAAAGCAGTAGCTCCGTTTTGCGGGCATCAATCCCTATTATCGAGCATGTGATATAATTCTGTAATGGCCCGTCGGCTTAAAATTCTAACCAACTTCCTAACAGTTTTACTGCTTCGACATTCTCACCGGATCGACCGAATGCTCAGACCCAAACGCAGACTGCGGGATATAGTAGGAGATAGATGGTATCGCCATCTCAACATAGACCGTGGCCTGCTCAAACCCATAAGGTGGTTTGGAGACTATGGAAAGAGGCCGGCAAAAATCTCCACCCTACAGTGGCGGATTGCACACCGGTGTCTACCAACAAACGACTGGCTAATAGATCACACACACTTGGAGCAACAGGGGCGGGCACTGCCATGGTGCCACAGATGCCTCCAGATGCTACTCCGGGAAAAAGCGCTCCGAGACGATAGAGCACATCTTCCAACAGTGCCCCACAAGCACATCTTCCTTCAGTGCCCCACGGTCATATTACTGTGGAGGTGGTGGGACAGGATTTGGCGGCACATGGTACCAGGCTCATCATGGCCATGGGACTGGAGGGCCATACTTCTGGGGCATTATCCCCAGATTCAAGGAATCACATTCGAAGAGAACATGTTTCGCCTGGGTAGACGTGCTGTCCCGTGGGTCATATGGTGGAGAAGGTGTATCCTGGAAGTAGAGGGAGCAAGGGTGGAAGACGGGGAGGTCACGGAGCAATTACGACTGTTAGTTCAGTACGAGATTACTGCCCAGTGGGGGGCAGCTAAAGAAAAGCTGAACCAAGTGCACACCAGGAGGGATATCAACAGAATTTTCTCTCAGTTCGGCGAGGACTGGTTGGGTGGGAAGAGGGAGGGCTGGGTGGCAAGGGTAAGTTGGGCAGGCGATGGGCAACAGGAATACCAACGGGAGCGTAGGCAGGAGGAGGAGGTAGGACCGCAAGGTGGACAACAGGCAGGAATTAAAAGGGATTATCAGCTGCATTTTCACGAATGGACAAAGGTTGACCCTAGCAATCCGTTGCGCCCAGCCCAGGAATTCGCAGACCCCTTCCCCCCTCACGCATTGTCCCTGGAGGAAGTGCTACCTGAGTCGCTGTTCCCGGACATTGCCTAAGTTCCCAAGTACCTAAGCAGTGCCATCTGGCGCCATCTACAGTGATCTACAGTGATGCCGAGCATCTCCCAGAAATCTGAAGACTTTCTTCCATGAAAATGCAGCGATTAGGGCCAGGCGTGTAAATGGAAGGAGGTCCCCGTTGGTGCCCCCCAGTGGCTCCCGTTTTCCTGAGCCTGGCTGTATGTCAGAAGGACTGGATTCTGGACCTGGTTTCCAGTAACAAGGTCCTTCCCAGACTGTCGCATGATCTTGGTTTTTCCAAATTTTCTCATTTTTTCACCTATGTACTTCTAAAGGACACTGAGCCTTTTTCTCAGCAAAGATGTATTTAAGGGACGCTGGACCCGGTTTCCAGCAGGTTCTGCTCCCCACCAATAGATGGAGCCTCCCCTATGGTGTTGGTGGTGTCTGCTCTTATCAGCACCCCTAGGAGCCGCTCGGGCTGTTATAACAAAACAAAAAAAA